GAGGGCCTTATGGAATTGGTAACTAGTTGTCATAATTTAAATAAAAAAGTTTGTGCTGATCTCCTCTCCTCCAGTTCTGTGAGCAGCTCAGTGATGAGTGGTGTGATTGTGACATCACTGCAGGCAGGGGACAGATTGCAATGTCACAGATAAGTCACCCATTGAAGAGTTCATTGCTGAGAGGTGGGACTGGATCACCACCCTGTGCAGGGGGCTCAGCAATGTGTAGTACATGAAGGAGGATAGAACACTGACACAACAGGCTTTTCTATATGGGATCATTTCTTAAATTTGTTAGTGGACGCAAGTGGCTAACTCACTTTTAAAACTGAACAGATTGATGACTGAGACAGGTACAGCTGTATCTGGGTATGTGCTGTTTTCCCTAAGAGAAGAAAGAATCTCAGGAAACTTATTATTCAGCCTTTCCCCCCCCGCCCCTTATCATCGTGGCTCTTATTGTAGTTCCCACTTTTTTCCCTGTTGAGATTTCTATGGCTTTTTCACACTCACATTTTATATACAATATCACATAGTGTAATTGTGCTTGTGTGATCTCTCAGATGATTTGATAATAACTGTGTCTGTGTCTGTGTGCGCGCGTGAGAGAGTGTAAATGCTTCTATGGTTGGCGTGTGATATTACATCATACCCAGACACTTGCGGTAAGAAGAATTGGTTTCTGACAACTCTCCATTACCCAACTCTTATGGCTGCTGGTATAATTTTGCACACGCAGGGCAAAAACCTATGGCCCAAGTAAGAGCCACAAAAAGCCCTGAATACAGCAGAACCACTGCAGATTTGCTACATGGGGTGAAAGGGTGAAGAAAAGATGCAGGGACACTTTGAAGGGGTCTACAGCCTCTTAGTGCCAGAGAGTTGAGCTTTAAACCTCAGCATACAGATTGTTTGGGATCTACTGGATCTGTAATTTCATGGAGCCATTTGTCAAACCCCCTTGTGGAGTGGAGAGGGGTGATCCCCATAGCTGTTGTAGCCTGGAGATTCCTGAAGCAGCATAAACAGGGCTCTGTGACCTCCTGGAGAATGCATGGATGGGAGGAGGGGTTTGTCACGCCAATCACTGCTTAAATCAGGGCTTACTCTCTTTACTTAATGTGTATTTTATTATCTCTGTATGAGAATTTGTGATACCATAGAAAGTTAGGTTTGGCTTCTCTGTTCCTTGAGCATTGTATTTCTGCTGCCAATTTTAAGTAGAGAATATTTACATAAAGGGAAAAACTAGTTCTACAGTACAATATTTAGGCAGAGAAGTTTAAGTAACCATTGCAGTATTTTTATACAGGTCTTTGGCTTGAAGTCATTTCTGTTAACAGTGCCTTACTATAGATGTTTATAACAAAACATTAAAGAGTTGGTGGAAAGGAGGAAACAAATTACTCTGCAGAGAACCAAGCAACTCTGCTAAAATACTGTCAGTTATTTATCTACTGTCAACAGAGGTTGCACACTATAATCCTTGACAGGCTCAGATTCAGGAAGAATGAAGAGAAGGGGCAGGGATTGCATTTAAGGGCCTGTTCTCATGCAAAGACATTTTAACACAGATTTAAAGCTAGAATGTATTCCCTGGAAAATGTCATTTTTGATTTTGATACATTTCCAAACAAGTAGCGCCTACATTTGGTTGACTTAGTGTGAGATGTGTTAGAGGGTAACACCATATTTTAAGCCATTCATGATCCCAGTGTGGAACTAACACAATAAGGTCAGCATCACTTCATTTTCAGAGTTTTGCCACAACAGCAGCATGATTTCACATGCATATTTTTTATGATTAGGCTGAAAGGTTTTTTTGTTAGGTGAAAGGGAAGGGGAGAATACAAAATCCTTCTTCTCGCTTCAAAATCTTCATTTTCTATTTTAAAAAAATTAGAAACACATATAAATCATCAATGTAGTTAACATTAGTTAAGTATTACTGTATGGGGCAATAGTTGCAAGCTAGTACAGTGTGTTGGAATAGGAGCATGACACTATTGCCAATATTCTATACAGAAAACACACATACACTACAAAATTTAGCTAAAATTAGTATATTTCACTAACATGCTCATGTTAGGCCTAAGAAGGGGATGTTTTAAGCAGCTGATGCCTGAATAAGGCACACAAATCTGTTTAAGGAAATGAATGCTTATATTTGGATATGCTGTATATTGAATGATCTGTTTACAGTACCTTGTTTTTACCTGTATGATCTGGGCTGTAAATAAATGTCTTCCTGTGAAAGAGGATGTTTGGATGTATGATGAATGCAAACTAGAATCTTAATTTTCTAATTCTTATTCACCAATTAAAAATAAACTGTATTTTTATGAGCAAATTTACATTAATCAGTTGATAAAGCAGCCTAACACTAAAGGGTAGGAGTTCAGGTCCTAGTATTTGCATATACTCTCCTAACGAAAATACAGGCATTTTAGATTTTCATTGAAAAGCCTTGCTGCGCTGGAACTCTAATGGGCTTAGAACAGTAAATTTTGAAGAAACTGATTGCTACCCCTGTAGCTAGTAAATGTCTGCCTAGACCCAGTGGCATTTGAAAAAAGTGTTTTATCATAAAATTATCCCAGCAGAGTCCATTCTGCAAGATAACATCATCATCATCATCATCATCAGTACTCCATGCAGGACCCAACAGCTCTGGCACAATATTGCCAGTCATTTATCTGTTGTCAGCACAGGTTACACACTGTAATCCTTGACTGCCTCGGAATTAGAATGTCTTTGATGTCCCCACAAGAGTTTTTTGCCCGAAGGCTTTACCAATGCTCGGCGGCTCAGTGTTTATTCCTCGTAATCTTCCTCTCATCTCCAGGCTAGCAGTGACAGATGGTTATGGGCACACAATAGTATTAAGAGTTTGATATTTTTTTTTATGCTGTGCTCTCTGTACAACAAATAGCTATCAGACGCGGGCCAGAGAGCTGACATGGCTCGCTTAGGTAATGGCAAACAAACAGCTCGGGTTGATGCTTTCTGTCATTTTCCCTGCTAACCCTGCTTGTTTTCATTGTATACTCTCAAAGGTAAACTATATTAACCTTATAGACTGTTATTAAAAAGATATATCTATATGAGCATAAAGTGCTTTTCTTTTCTCTTTTTCTTACTCTTTTGATTATGAAAGTAATACTGCTGACATATTGAACAAATATCGAATGTCAACATAAATTTTTAGTGTGTGATAATATTCCCCTTCATATAGCTGTGTGTCAGGCGGGAACCCATGGATGATGCATAGCAGTAAATAACCCAAACAAAATTAGTTCTCTTGTCAGCTTCTACCTTGTATGTCCCCAGGCATCAGTAAAATTGACTGCACGCTAGATTTTCAAAATTAGCCCTAATGTTAGCTGTGTGTCTGGCAACCTCCAAGTTTCCAGTGTTCTACTATATTACCCGTAAGGATGAATGTGTTACTTTTATATTTTGGCATTTGCTCTTGCTGATGTGGCTTTTTTTCCCTCTTCTCCGAATTAAAAATAATTTAGCTTTAACAATAAGTATGTGCACAAACACAATGTGGCATCTCTTTAAGCAACTAACTTTAGGCAATTAAATTAAATTATAGCAAAAATATACACAGAAAGAAAAGGAATTATTCAATTTAATATTGTTAATTTTATTAACTTAGCTTTGTGCTATTTTATGCAAAGTACTGAATAATATGGAAAATATTTTCTTTTAGTCTGTTGTTTTTTTAATACAACATTTGGAATAATTTAGGTAACCATTTAAAAAAAAACTTGGCATGACAGAACTTTTTATAACTTATCATCCTAAAAATATGCATTTTTCAAATATATTCTTAGGTGAATGAGAAAAATCCCAAACTAAAAAAAATGATAGCAGACACTAAGCTTTACACTTTCTACAGCAAATGGAGATGTAAAGTATATCTAACTTCTATGCGTTAACTTTTAAAATAGCCTGTGAGAACACAAAGCATTCATTGAGTTACCAGCAAAACTTGGTTAAAAATAAATGTAACTCCACGAGAAAGGCTATGTTGGAAGTGTGAAGTTGATTAAACAAACCCAAAGACAGATTCCACATCAACTTCCAATCCCTAAATTTTATGTTCAGACATTTAGAGTCAAAGATGAAAATCCCTTTAGGTACCAGATGCTGCAGATCATCTGGGAGAGCTTCTGGAGTTTTAATGTGCTGGAAGTCAAATCCTCTGCAAAGGCGATTTGCCCTGTCGGTGTAGTGTACTTATTGCTTTACCTGCAAACAGTTGCTCTCAGAAAATCTGACCTACTGATCGACCCAGCATCTCTGCAATAAACAGACTATAATCTGTGGATGAAGTGAACTCTAATCAGGCCACATGCAGATTAAACAAACTGCGAGGAATAAAAACTAGATTAAAATGTTCGTGCCCAATACCAGAAGATTATCAGGACATTTTACCTCTTTAAATCCTAATTTGTGTTGGAATCAAGCTAAAGTTTATACATTTGTAGTGATTATTTGGTTTGGTAGATTTTCCTCAGTTTAGAAAAGATTTTGTGATCAGGTATTTGTGTTAGCAGTGAGAAAAATATTCAAATATGCTTTTTATTTATTTATTTAAAACACGGAATAGGTAGATTTATAATGAAGACACGGAGTAATGAACTATGTAGTTTGACCTGGTATCTTAATACCTAATCACTCACATTAAGGTAATTAAGATAATACGAATAATGCTGCACACCAAGTGTCAACAGTGGATTGCTGTATGAAAATACTTCAAAATATAGTTACCAGCAATATATTTATAATTTCTATTACTTTGGGATACTTAATTAATTATTCTAAATACTTAGATGTTAGTGATGTGCTATTCCAGATATACGAGGTAGTACCTGTTATGTTATATATGTATCACATAGCTTTATACTTGACATTAATCACATGAACAGCATGAAAGAAAATTCATAAATCATGTAAAGGTATAGTATTTTGATTTGTGCAGCACTTACCACCTGTGAGGCCAGACAATGTGCAAAGGTCTTTGCTGATAGTCCGTTCCACTCAAGAGATTACAAGGGTTAAAAGTCACATGTTGCTTATCTTCTTGACAAGGCACTTCTTGATTTGTACTTTCTGATGCTTTAGACTTGTTCAGTTTCTCTAGTGATGTTAATGGGTATTGTAGTCTTTCTTGTTGTGTGGTACAAAGTCCAGACTGTGCTTCACAAAGTCCAGACTCAGGACTTGAGCTGCTGGTTTTCATTAAACTCCCAGTGGCTCTATACTTCTGTTGGAAAGGCAGACACCTAAATAGATAAGTATCTTCATTTCCTCTAAAACCAGTTATCTTCTCCAAATGGGCCAGTTTGTGCTCCGGCATGAATCTATTATCAAAAAAGAAAATTCCTGTATGGCATTTACACTGGATACAAATAATTTCAGTTGGCACTTTTTAGTTATTTAATTGCAAATGAAAAGAGAGGATGGTCAGCATTTTTGATCCTGGGAACAACATCCCGGGGATTCAGGGTGATATTTTTTCATATTTTAGCAAATGTAGTGCTTGTGAAAGGTGACAGACTCACAGGCCTAGAACCTGAGTGCCTCTATTAAACCACAGTACAGCTATAGCATAGACATTGACGACAGGATCCCACACCACTTGCAGACCATTTGCTTCCAATTTGAAATGGAGGAAAATCTCGAAGAGGTAAGAAGGCAGTTCTGTTTCCATAGCCATTAATTTTTTGGTCTTTTTGCAGAGATTACAATAAAATTGCTAATAAGTGCCAAATGCAGTGGTGATTTTACTATCACGTGAACACCTCTCTCTTAGAGACTAGACTGAGACCAGCAAATCACTTCTTATAGGTCAATGAACAGCTTTCATTCAATAATAACCTGTGCCAAATCTGAACCTGTGGCATGAAAGTGAAAGTCTCCTTATCTCATTACTCATCATTTGACCCAAATGGATCTCTGTTAAAAATGTATTATCACAAAATAATTAACAAATACATTAAAAAAACCCTTAGGATTTAGTTGTGAATTTGGTCTATAACATGAGGTAGGCTGAAGTGTACTTCATATTTTACCTGGCTGACATCTAAACTAAGGATACAGATCATTCTTACCAGGACACACGGCATAGGAATCTGTTCCCACACTTTAAAATGAGTGGGGCCTAGCAACAAGACACCTATTGAGTTAGAAAATTAGATTTGGAACACTGCATATTAGTAAACAGTGTCTACCTCTCAACCTGCAATACCCCTGCTGGCTCCCTTTAGCAACTGCAGCAGCAGTAGACAAAGGCCAGACATGTCTGTTGCCTTATAAACCAAGGTGCTCAGAAGCACATACCCTTTCTCAAAGAGACACCATAAGATCCACTCTCAAGCTGGAGGCATCTGCCCGGACTCTCCCTACGAGGCAGCAGGTCTGAATAATCACTGCATTCTCATTTACAGCTAAGAAAATGGAAGTAAAGAGATTAAGTGACTTTGCCAAGGTCACAGAGACAGTCTTACAATTGAGGAGTTCCTGGCTTCCAGTTATGTGTTCAGACTACACCTCTCGTCCCCTGCTGAAAGCCTCCCAACAACAGGATAAATTTTAATAGTTATATGCAGGACACAGTGCTCACTTAGTACTATTTGAAAAGTGACATTTTATACAGTGTAATTCTGATATTTGTTTTTTAAGTAGTTGTGAATTATGGGCCATCATCAGGAAATGCTGATTTAGGAAAAGGTCACTTCACTCAATCAGTTTGTCTCTTTTAAGTTCATTATCAAACGGACTACACAGCTCTGTCACTGGGTCCTGCAAAGTCTTCTCTTTCAGAAATATATATCTGTATCTTAAGGTTAGTTACTTAAACATTATTTGTTTCTGTGGCCTTGTTTGGCAACACATTTCATAAATAAGTCTGAATTCCCAGTTTCCTTTAATTTCCAAATGTTTAGATTGTGTGGCCTGATTATTGAACTGTTTTACCAGAATGAACACTTGCTCTATTTTACCAACTCCTTACACACTTCTTCAGACTTTCAATCAATCACACTGAAACCTTCATTTCTGAATTGAGAATAAACTACTTCTTTAGCCTTTTGTCAAAACAAATATCCAAACCCTGAACTCATCCAGGTTACCCTGCAATGCAGTCTCTTTAAAGGCAAATAAATGGCTCTGAAATTATACCAAAATTCTACCCATACTGCAGTCAGAAGTTTACTGCAGTCGTATACTTGACTAATTGCTTTGAGGATTTGTCTGCAATAACCCCTCAGTTTCTTTTCCTAGTCAGTATACTGTTCTGTTTAATCTGTACTCCCTATCTTGGCTTGTTACCCCCAAACATATTAGTTTACATTTAACGACATTAAGCTGTACTTTCCATCCAGTCATTTAAATGATCCAAATTCTTTTGAATTTAGTTATAGTGTTCCTCATTATTTGTTATATTTATCCTGTAGATATAATCAGCAATTTTTGATATTTAACATTCAATATCCTCCTCCAAATCAATTACACATATTATAAACAAGAGAGGTTCCCAAACCAATCTCAGAGGTAAACTCTTTCCATTAGCCAATCCCATTTATCTACCACTTTCAAAAAGAGCTATTTCATTCTCATATCAGTACTGCTTACTATTACCAGTAAATGTTAATGTAGAATCTTTCCAAATGTTTTTGGTAAATCAAAATCCCCATGCACTTTATGAAGAAATGTCTATATAAAAAAGTAGCATCGTACCAATGGCTAACCTAACATACTGACAACTATATTAGCTGCTCTGAACAAATGTGCTCATCAAAGTATTATTTGCCTAACTTTCACACTAATAATATGATAATAGATATCATCTAACACAAGCTAACATTCTAGACCCAGCACAATCCAGATTCAGACCAGGACATGGAACTGAAACTGCTTTAGTGGCACTGACAGATGATCTTCTCCTGTCAATGGAGAGAGGACTGGCAGACATTCTCATCCTCCTAGTCCTCTCTGCAGCACCCCACACAACTGACCATGAGATTCTGCTGTCAGACCTGAAAGAAGTGGCTGGGGTCCACAGTAATGCACTAAGAGTATGGTGACATTTTGTGCTGGAGATGTAATTTCCAGCTAGAGGAGACATGCCTGTGCTAGATCTGATCAATCTAGCACACTAAAAATAGAAGCATAGCCATGGGACCATGAGCAGCACGGGGGGCGGGGGCAGCTGCCCTGAGTACAATCCCATCCAAGATGCTAGTTACATACACAAATAACTGGCCCATCCCATCACTCATGCCACCATGGCTACACTATTTTTAGTGTGGTAGCTCCATTAGAGTTAGCACAGGTATGTCTCCGCAAGTTGGAAATTACACCTCCAACTCAAAATGTAGACATACCCTGAAATGGTTTGAGTGCTTCCCATCAGCTACCCAACAAGTAGTGATGGGAAACTGCACTTCCACCACTAGACCCCACACTAGTGTAGTTTCACAAGGATCATCTCTCTGATCCCTTCCAACATCTACATGAAACCACTAGGTGAAAGGGTCAGCTGTCATCACAGATGACCATACCCCTCCCACCAAGACAGCTCAGTGTCTGGATGAGATCAGCTCATGGATGAGCTATAGCTGGCTGAAGATCAACCCAAGCAAGACTGAGATTGTGATGCTGGTGGGCAGAAGAAAATATTTTGAGGAGTTTGCAGCCACAATGCAGTTTCCTTTGGCAGCAGATACACACCCACAGTTGGTCAATTCAGTCTGTAGACTAGGGATACTTTCAGATTTCTCAGTGATGCTGAGTAGCATCTGTGAATAATGCTTTCTACAATCTCCACTTGGCTAGAAGACTCTGTTCCATCCTGGAGGACAAACACTTGGTCTCAATTATTCATGCCTTCATCACCTTTGGCTGGAATGCAATATACCTGGGCATGAAGCCTTCAGTACTTAGGAAACTCTAACTAGATCAGAATGCGGCAGCAAATCTCAGCAACACAGGCTACTGAGAGCACATCTAACCTGTCTTCTACTGTCTACCCTGGCTTACCACTGAATTTCAAATCAAGTTCAAGGTCTTGGTCCTTATCTTTAAAAGGCTCAATAGCCTGGGCCCAGGATATCTAAAAGATAATCTAAAGCTTTGGGACGAAGATCGTAACTATGCTCTCCTCTGCCACAATGGAAGTCACCACAATAAGAGTAAAGCTCATCTGTGTGGTAGATAGCACTTTCTCTAGGGGCAGTCTGAGACTGTGGAGTGAACTTCCTCAAGAACTAAGGACCATCACAAACCACACCACTTTCTGTTCCAAGTACAAGGCACATTTCTTTGACCATACCTTCTCTAACAAACATATAACAGTGTATATGTGTACAAAATAACAACAAAAAACAACCCTCCAAAAGTCTACCAAAGTAAGACACTCCCCTGTATACACTTCTCCCTTTGGGGAGAGGATGAGAGAACAAACAACACATTACAGATGTGGAGTCATGTTGCGTAATGCACTACTGGAAGGCGCTCAGATATGACTGTAGTAAGCACAATATGAGAATCTAGATAGAATAGATCTAGAATTGCCTGATATAGTTCTTAATGGCATTATTTTAGAGGTGCCATAAAAAGGTCCAAGTAGTGATGGTGCTCCCCAAATAAGTGTCATTTGTGCCACTCCATAATCTTACCATTTTCCATGCCCATATGTTTGAGCTACTCTCCAAAACACGAAAAGATTAAATCAATGGGACTTGTGGTTGCTCAGCACTTCTGAGTATCAGGGTATTTATTTAGATGTCTAAATAAGGAGTTAGGTGCCTAAATTTAGGTAATTAATTTTGAAAATGATGATGATGGCTCTAATACGGGTCTTATTTTAGATCCCCATTTACTTATGTTCCTTTACTTCAGAAATATGGAAATATTAATATTGAAGTAATACAAACTGACAAAAAAATTCATATAATTTACAATTTTAAATACTTTTATTTTTTACTTATACAGTGCCTTCAATAGAATATTATAATGAATTAATCTTCCCAGAATCTCGATGATGTAAGTATTATTATCCACATTTTATATATAGAAAAACTGAGTGACGGACAGCTTCAGTGACCTGAACAGATCCTGGATCACTCAACTCCTAGTATCTTGCCTCAACCACAAGACCATCCTTGCTCTTTTTTTCTCGTGTCACTCATTTTGAGTCTTTTCACTTGTACTGTAGAAACAGTGACTACCAGCAATTAATCAAAACTCAAATGATCCCCAGCTTAATTCTGTCTGAAACTGTAATCACAATTAATGTTGAAGTGCAAACCAACTTTAGGTCCTGTTTACAGTACTGTAAAAGCCGTATGAGGAAATAAAA